TCTCTAGATTTTAGGTATCCGGCAAAGGAAGAGGAAGTAACCTTGCAAAAGACAACAACAAGCTGGAGAATAGAAAGTCTGCCTTCCATATTGGGCTGGATTTGTATCTGAAGAAGTCCAAGCACTGACCAAGGTTAGTTTCTCCCAGTCTTCTCTCTCGGTCTTCCTTCTTCCTTCCCTGCCCTTCTCTCTCCTCAGTGCTGAGCACAGAGGTGAACAAACCCAGAAGACAATGACAAAAGCTATCAAACAGATCCTCACATTCTTTCGTGAAAGTGTCATCCCCGATAGAAGGACGTCACAGGCATTATGGGATTATATTTATCTCCCAGATCAGCCCGGTCAACAGCACTGGGCCTCAGTGCTTGTGCAGCAGGTACACAGATGAATAAGAACTCAGTCCTGCTTCAGTCTCATGCGACTCAGCGTCCATTCACGTAGGATCCAGTTCCTGGGTCCTGCCCTTTGCCCAAGGCCAAGGCTAGACCTCTTCTTGAACTCTTGCTGATAATGGGACTTTCCTTATTTCCTGGCCTTGTGCGCTGCCCTACCTTCCTTTAGCTCTCAGGTCCAAAGGCACCTGATTAGCCTCCTGGCCACCTGTCTAAAACGCTCTCCCTTCCCTGATTTTATTCCCTTCCTCTCTTTCCTTCTCCAACATTATTTATTTCCGAGGCTGCTTATCATCTCCATTGGAAGGCGAGTTCTATGAGCGCAGGAACTGCTGTGGTTTTTCTTCTCTGTTTTAACACTATGGGTATCTAGTCTGTACTCAATAAATGTTTATCGTATGAAGCCATGAATATTTGATTTTTTTCTGGTCTTGGGGCTTGAACTCGGGGCCTGGGTGCTGTCCTTGAGCTTTTTTGCTCAAGGTTAGTGCTCTACCACTTGAGCCACAGCTTCATTTCTGGCTTTCTGGGTGGGTAATTGGAGATAAGAGTGTCAAGAACTTTCCTGCCCAGGCTGGCTTTGAACTGACATTCTCAGATTTCAATTTCCTGAGTAGCTAGGATTACAGGCATGAGCCACTGCTGCCTGGCTTGAATATTTTGAAACTTCTTTCCAGTGCTGGGGCCCCGTCCTCACCAGCCTAGTTCACCCAGACCCGGGATATGGTCTTGTGCAGGGCTTTGGTTCTGGCAGGATGGAGGAGCCTCTGATCATACCACTTACCACTCCACATGGACTGGCCCCGCGGCTTTGTTCCTGGGGCTTTCTCACACAGGAATCTGTTACGGCATGTTCTTGCCCGCTCTACCCCTGACTCTCACTGCTCCTGCCTGCCCGGGTGCTGGCCTCCAACTTGTCTTAAGAACTGGCTCATCTCAGACTGTCCCAGTTAATTAACCTTCTCTGTGTGACAGCTTTACAAGACTGGACAGAAGGCAGAACACCCATGATGCTCTGTGAATGAACCCAGCAGCCAGTGGGTATGAGTGAGGTGGGAGCATTCACGCCACACACACTAATTGCTCGCATCTTGAAAGTAAATGAAAGAAAGGAGTTGAAACACTTTGGAATCACTGCTGTGTCCTGACATTAGCTTCATAAAACCAATTTGGAAAGTCACTCTTGCATCGTATTACTATGTCTAGACTAAACTGTTTAAGCTTTCCTGGTAAGATCTTGAGATGTTATAATAACTCACCTGTTGGGCTGAGAATGTGGCCTACAGGTAGAGTGCTTGCCTAGCATGCATGAAGCCCTGGGTTTGATTCCTTAGTACCACATACACAAAAACAGCCAGAAATGGTGCTGTGACTCAAGTGATAGAATACTAGCCTTGAGCAAAAGAAACTCAGGGACAGTGCCCAGGCCCTGAGTTCAAGACTCAGGACTGGCCAAAAACAAAACAAAACAAATCAACAAACCTCACCTGTGTTAGTCTAAGCTCTGGCCAGCTTCTGAGTTGTCAATATCCTCATTAGCTTCTCATAATTTGTTTTTTTTGAGTCAGGTGCTGGTGGCTCAGGCCTAGCTTCTCAGGAGGCTGAGATGTAAGGATTGAGGTTTAAAACCAGCCCAGGCAGACACATCCTCAAGACACTTATTATATCAATGAATCAGCAGAAAGCTGGAAGTAGAGCTGTGGCTCAAATGATAAAGTGCCAGCCTTGAATGAAAAAGCTAAGCAATGGTATCAGGCCTTGAGTTCAAGTCCCAGTACCAGGGCAATTTTTTTTTTCTTCTGCCTACAAGCTGAAGCGCAAGATAAGCCTCTGCAAAGTTACCTTAGGCTTCGAATACACAGGGACATCTTGCATTCTTGCTTCTTTTTCTTGGTATACAACATAGATTATACCTTAGGGCATAGTGGAACCAGGCTCAGCCGGGTGGCTGTAGGATACCATGCTTGAAGTCGGATCCCAGAGATCTATTTTCTATAGTTGATTAATGTCAGGTCACCGGGGAAACCCCATCAACAGGTTGTATTTGTGAAACAAGACAAGGCCAGCCAGCTGAAAGCATTACGAGCTTTAGATCTTCCTTTGCTTGTTATTATCATGACAGAAGCTACATGGAGGGAGGGGATGCAGCCTCGGGCATGAAGTCAGCTCAGCCTGAGCGGCTGGATGAGGCCCTCTGCTTCGCCAGTTCAGAGCCGCCTGAATTTTGTTACTCAGGACCCAAGAGAGTTGGAAGGTTCAGCTGTGTAAGTTATATTGTGTGGTGGTGGGGTGTGTGTGTGTGTTGGTGCTTGGGTGCTGCCTCTTAGCTTTTGCCACTCAAGGTTGGCATTCTACCATTTGAGCCACACCTCCACTTCTGGCTTTTTACTGGTTAAGAGTCTCTGGGATTTGCCTGCTGGGGTTGGCTTGCATCTCTACCCTCCATCTCAGCCTTCCGTGTAGCTAAGATGACGAGGGAGAGCCACCAGTGATCCTGCGTACAAGTTCCATTTTGTAGGTGTTTTTCCTTTCTGCAGACACTTTCTCCGTCCATTCCCCTCTGCAGCCGCCCGGGGACGCAGAGCCCTTTTGCCTTTAGATTTCACTGTGAAGGAAGGAGACATTCGAAGCAAGCCCCTAGGGTGGGTGTTAGATTTTGTCTTGCTCTGGCGGTGCTGGCGAAGGACTCACTCATGCTAGCCACGCACTTGACCCCCTGCCCTTTAGCCTCAGGCCGAAGGCTGGGTTTTAAGGCGATGAGCAGGGTGGACTCGGAGGTCCCCCACGGGAGCCCCAGCACCTGCGTCCCCATCCTCCCTGGGCGCGGGGCGTCTTCGGAGGCATCGTCCAGGCCTCTGGGGGAAAGTAGCATCTGCCTGGAGGGACCACAGGAACTTTTAAGGGCAGCCAGAAAGTGTCAGCCCGCGGGGCGGTGTCCCCCACTCTTCGTCGGCCCTCGGCTGCCTTCGCGCCGCCTCCTTTCACACCTGATTCAGCTCTGCTCTGACCACCTCCAGGTGCGGGTCCAGGGTCGGCAACTGGGCTGGTGTGTGTGTTGGGGGAGGGGGCGGCCCAAGGGTGCGCCCCGCATCCCGGGGGAGTTGGGCGAGTCGGGACGGACAG